GCGAACGCCTGTTGTCACTTTCAGGTGACATTGTAAACAAGAAGTGGGCAGCATTATCTCCTGCAAATGTAAACAAACTTGTTTGTCTGAGCGATTGGCTGAACAAGAAGTAGGACTGAGTGGACTTGTAGGCTCTAAAGTTTTACATCGTTTTATTTTTTAATGCAGTTATTTTTGGTACATAATTCTACATTTCTAAGTTCAACTTTAATGATAAAGAGATTGCACTACAAAACTTGTATTAACTGAATTGAAAAATACTATTTTATTTTTACCGTGCAAATATTTATAATAAATAAAGTGATCACTGTACACTTTATATTCTGTGTTGTAATTGAAATCAATATATTTGAAAATGTAGAAAACATCCAAAAATATTTATAAAAATGGTATTCTATTATTGTTTAACAGCACGATTAATTGTGATTAATTTTTTTAATCACTCAACAGTCCTAGAATTAATTTGAGTTTAAGGTCCATGTTCTTTCTGGCTCTCGGCTTCAAACCCAGGCAATGGGAACACTTCTGAGGAACGTGTCCCACTCCTAGGCAGCAGATACACTTTGCATTGCTGCCCGTTATAGAGAAGGCGGCTCTGCACGAGACACACCACTTAAACCCGGGTGAACCAGGCATAAGGATGAGGATGTAGCTTCCCTAAGGGGAAGGACGGAAAACAGGAGAACGAACTAATACTTCTTTTTTGTTGTTTTAGGAGGAAGAAACAGAAAAGGGAAAGTAAGGAACTAACAACTATGAGAAGAAAAACAGGTAAGATACTATCTAAATAACAATGTGGGCTCTGCTAAGTGTTCTGTTCCAGACTGCAGGTGGTAGAGAGGGAACTGAGGGTGGTCGGACCGCACAGCGCTATATATACACGACACGTGCATAGCGCGAGAGAGGGGAGGTATGCATGTGAGGTCTGACGGGCACTGCTATGGAAGATCTCTGACTCCAGATGCAAAGGTGCTGTTGCACCTACAGTGGAGCACCCAAGGGGACATCACTCAAAGAAGAATTTGCAAATATTATTGCAAGCAGCTCCAAGAGTTCTTCAGTTAATTCCTTCAGCATCTTGGGGCGAATACCATCAGGCCCTGCTGACTATATAATACATTCAAACTAGTCAAAAGACCTCTGACATGTTCTTTGCTTATCCTGATCTGCATCCCTTCCCCTTTATTGTCTATGATAACATCGTTGGTTGTCTGGGCACATTATTTTTGTGTGTGAAGACTGAAGCAAAGAAGGCATTGAGCAGCTCTGCTTCCCTATCATCTTCCATTACCAGCTCACCATCCCTGATTATTCCTTTTTGTCTGACATATTTATAGAGCCCCTTCTACACATCAGGACCATGATATTCCCCAGAACATTGACAATACATCCTATAAGCTATTAGGGGAATGTCATAAATATAGAGAGAAGAGTAGCATAAAACCCCTCCTTGACAGCTATACTGAATCGCCTTACCTGTAAGGGGTTAAGTAGGTCAAATAACCTAGTTGGCACCTGACTAGAAGGACCAATGAGGAAAAAAGATACTTTCAAAACTGGAGGGGGAAGGTTTTGTTTGCTCTCTCTTGGTTGTTCCCTCTCCGGACAGAAAGAGAAGCCAAGCAGGTACGACATCTCCTGAAAATATACCTGGAATAATCCATCTAAAACCATAGAAATTGTAAGTAGGCAAGGAAATGTGTTAGGTTATCTTTCATTTTAGCTTGTGAATTTTCCTATGCTACAGAGGTAGTTTTATTCCTGTTTTTGTAATTGTGAAGCTGAGCCAGAGTGGAATCCTCTGTGTTTTAAATCTTTTTATTTACCCTGTAAAGTTACCTTCCATCCTGATTTTGCAGGTGTGATTCTTTTACTTTTTCTTTTTAAATAAGGTTCTTCTTTTAAGAACCTGATTGATTTTCAGTGTCCTGAAGACAGAGGGTCTGGTCTGTACTCGCATTGCTAATACAATTAGTTGGTA